ACCTAAATTAAGAATGAAAAGGTTAAAATATTTTTAAGTAGCTTACTCGCTTTTACTTCAACAAAATTATTTTATCTGTAACAATTTCTTTCATTTAAATTTTAGGAAGTTAAATAAAAATAAAAGTATGCATGTATTTATATATAAGTACACACAATCCCTTATTACTATATGCCTAAAAAGACCAAAAACAATAAGCATATTTAGTGCCCAGGTCGTACTTACTAAAGAGCATTTTTCACTATAAGGAAACTTCTTAAAAAATTGCTGATTTCAGATTTGTGACAATAAATTACAAAATGAACTTGGAATTGCTCACTGTCACCAAAAGGAGGAAAAAGGTCAAGGAATAATATTCCTACTAAATCAAATGGAATAAGATACAAGTTGTCACATGGACAATGTCACCATGAAAATAAATTATAGTACTGAAAAATTACCCATTGCATTGGAAAGAAATTATGAGTCTATGTTGATGAATATATCAGTGGAAGAAATGGAAAGTTTTATATAGTTTTAAAGTAACAACCCACAAAATAAAAGGTTGAAGAATCCTTCAGGTCTTGACTTTAATTATAGTCAATGTGACTCTCATAATGAAGGGACAAATCAAAATCAGGTTATGATTCAAGATATTATAAGACACAGATTCACTTCTATGAATTCCCACCAATGCTGCAAAACCTTATTCTAATACTGAGGAGCTACCAAGTAAATTCAAAATGAGGAACATTCTAGCTTGCTGTCTTTTGTATGTTGAAATAATAAAGGTCAAGGAAAGAGTGAGGAATTACTAAAGATTAAAGGATCAGAAAGACATTACAAATAAACATAATGCATAAATGAGAAAAATATCATTTTGCTAGAAAGATATTTGGATGTTTTCTTCAGTATGGACAACTGGAGCACTCTGACTATAATATGAAGCAATAATTGCACTGATGTTATCTTCCCGGCTTTCATGGTTAAGGGAACATTCTTGTTTGAAGGAAATACACTAACATTAGTGTTAATAGGGACACTCTTTTCTCTAACTTTCAGCATTTCCAATTTAATCAAGTTGGGACGAAAACATTGTCAGGACACTAACAGTGGAATTCTGCTACATTTATAATATGGAAGAACAGCACAATGCTTTCACTTAAAGACTGCCTTTTATTTTGGCTATAGTTCTAGAAAATTACAAACTGCCAGTTGGAGTTAACTGCCTACAGAATTAAGCTTTCCAATCATTGTGCCAGACCCCTGCTTGGAGGAAAATTAAAACAAAACTGTTATCAGATAATGGTCCTTTGGAGAATTAGGAAAGGTTTAGCTTGGCCATAGCCCCAAAACCCATTGTTTTTGGCTATAATAGTATACTCCTTACAAATCAGAATGTTCTTTTTGTCCTATCTGAACACAAGCTCAAAGTTTAAACAATAGCATATGTGCTACATGTTGTGGTTTGGATGTAAAATGCACCTCCACAAACCATGTACTTATAATTTGATACTAAATTGGGATATGACAGAAACTAGTTGAAGGGAATGTCTTTGGAGGCATGCCTCTGGTACTACATCTTTTCTTGAAGCCTCTGCTCTGTCACTCTGCTTTCTGGTCACTACGAGTTTTCTATTGTCAGTGTCGCTTGCATGGGTGCTCTGTTTTACCACAGAGCCAGAAACAACAGGGCCAAGTAACTAATGACTAAAACCACTAAAACTATGAGTGAAAATAACTTTTTTTTAAGTTGATTTTCTCGGTATTCAAGACATGAAGTGGAACTGTGACTCAAGTGGTAGAGTGCTTGCTTTAAGCTGAAGAGCTCAGGGAGAGTGCCCAGGCCCAGAGTTCAAGCCCCATGACCACCACCACCAACAACAACAACAAACCAACAAAGTTGTGCTGGTAGCCTTAGTATGGCCGTGTTTGTGATCGTTTGGGTAAATGCCCAAAAGTTGGATTGTTGGGTCATATGGGAGCTCTATGTGGAGTCTTTTGAGGAACCTCCATACTGCTTTCCAAAGTGGTTGAACAAGTTTAAACTCCCACCAACAATGCAGTAGGATTCCCTTCTGGCCACATCCCCTCCAGCATCTGTTATTATTAGATTTCTTGATTATAGCCATTCTAACTGGAGTGAGGTAGAATCTCAATGTTCTTGCCTTTTATGGCTAGAGTGGTTGAGCATTTCTTCATGTGTCTATTGGCCATTCTTATTTCCTCCTCAGAGAAGTTTCTCTTTAAGTCTTTAGCCCACTTGTTTATTGGACAGTTGTTTCTTTGAGGATTTGTTGTTGGAGGATTTAATTTTTTGAGTTCCAAGTATATTTTACATATGAGACCCTTGTCCGTTGTATGGCTAGTGAAGATCAAGGCTACCAGCACAACTATGTTTATCGCAGCATTATGTGCCATAGCTAAGATATGGGACCAACCCAGATGCCTCTCAATAGATGAATGGATCAAGAAAATATGGTATATATATGTTTTATACACACACACACACACACACACACACAATGAAATTCTATGTCTCCACCAGTAAGAATGGCATTGCCCCATTTGTTAGGAAATGGAAAGACTTGGAAAATATTATATTAAGTAAAGTAAGCCAGGCCCAAAGAAACATAGGTCCCATGGTTTCCCTTATTTGTAATAACTAGTACATGTGTAGGACAAGCAGAAAAGGCCAAAAGCTATGTATATATGAACATATAAGATGGTGTTAAGCGAAATGAACCCCAAGATAGGGACACAAATACCGTTTTTCTTTCTTGCTATTGTTTCTAACGTGCTTATAATGTACCATGTGATTTTTTTGTTGCTTTGTATGTTCCTCCCCCATTTGATGTCAGTGCCCTGCATCTTATATATACACTTCTCTAATTCGGGGAGGAAAGGGAAAAAAAATTCTTAAATAAGGCTACAGGTTGATCCATTGTAACAATGAGATGTACAAGACACTATGTTGAAAAAGAACTTTACAACTTCAATGCAGGGCAGGGGAGGAGGCGCATGGGAACAGGGGTAGTTGCGGAGGTGGGAGGGAAGGGATGATAGGGGGAAAACAAAGGAGGAGGCAACAATGCTCAATAGGAAATGTACTCATTACCTTGCCCAAGTAACTGTAACCATTCTGTACAGCATTTTTACCAAAAAAAAATAAAAAAAAATAAAAAAACAACAACAACAAAAACAAAATATAAGGAAATCAAATCAGGACATTAAAGTTCAACACACACACACGTTATTTTGTTGTAGTCGTTGTTAGTAGTACTAAGGTTTGAACTCACAGTTTTTCACTTGTAAAGTAGTCACTCTACTGCCTGAGCCATGCCTCCAGCTCTTTCTGCTCTGGTTGTTTTTGAGATAGGACCTCACTGTTTTCCAGTTCATGCCTACACTGCTTATGTTTCCTACTGTCAGTGGGAGGACAGATTCATTTTACTATGTTCAGCTTTCTCTATTGAGATGGGATTAACTAGTGTTGTTTTTGTTGTTTAGGCTAGCCTGAAACAACAATCCTCCTAATCTCAGCCTCTCAAGTAATTAGGTGTGTCCCGCCACGTCCTGATACTCATTGTAATAGCTCTCATGAACTTCCTGCCTGGGCAGACCTCAAACTACCACCCGCCTACCCACCTCCCAAGTAGTTAACATTTTAGGAGTCACCTGGCTCGACATCATTCCACAAAGGTAACAGAACAACTGTGCTTTAAAATAGTCACAGAAGACAGTAAAGCATTACCTTGATCCCACTATTAATGTCATCTCAGTAAAGTGCTGAAACAGCAGATCTGCCCTCCCAACAGTAAATACTCACCTGTTGAATTAAAGAGCATTATATAAAAGGGCTCCTCTGTTTCTGGAATGCCATCCTCATTAATGTATACAGATAGGCTCTGCTCTCTACTTTCAGTCTCAAAAGCAAGGACTCCTCCTTTTCCAGCAAGAACAAAGTCTCCCTCTTTTTCGGTAGCCTTTCCATCCCTTGTAGCATATTGGACAGTGCAGGTAACATCCACAGATCCATTCCTGAGAACTGTAAAGTTGGCGGTCTCACCTTCCTGAACCCTTACCACTCGAGGCTCTGAAAAATCCACCGAGAAGAAACACATAAGCCTTTCACATTCCACCAACACATATTCAGGTCACTCTCATTTATCTCTGCCACCCAGGCATGATAAATACACTACATCAGCTCCATTCCCAACTCTGAGCCAGGGCCTTTCTTAACACATTGACAATGGCCTTCTTCTTGCCTTCATATCTACAAGATCCCTTGTCTTTGGCACCCAATTTGTCAATAAATTATATACTCCTTGAAATTCTTTGACCACTCATTTGTAAGTCTTCTTTTGAAGTTGAAGCTGTAAGTTGTTAGACAACCAAACCAACTATCTTATGTTTTATTTTGGCCACAGCAATTGACAGGCATCTGAGCATAAGATGAATACAAAAAGTGTCTATTCATTGAAGCTTAAAAACAAGTATCAATAAAACTCAAGAGATTTTAAAGGTTTCTACTTCAGTATATGGTCCTTTATAGGGGATTTACCAAAAACAATTAAGGAGGGGTTAGACATCAATTAAGATGCATAAATAAAACTAAAGGATGTCTCAGGTGACCCAAGACCATTCTAGCAAGCAGTAAAGTAACAAATAAAAGATTCTTGATTCACATGCCTATTCACATGTCTTTTTCTTTTTTAAAAAAAGTTTTTTATTGTGAAAATACTGCACAGAGGGGTTACAATCACACGAGCAAGATAATGAGTACATTTCTTATCAAGCATTGTTGCCTCTTCCTTTGTTTTTCCCCTACCATCCCTTCCCTCCCATCTCCACAACTACATTCCCCCCTCCCACCCACCTCCCACGCTTAAATTGTAAAGTTCGTCTTTTGAACATAGCAAGACTGTCTTTTTCTACATGAAAGAAAATATCTTGAAATTATAAAGAAGATCAGACATAGAGCTCACAAAACAATATTCAGGTTATTTTTTGTGTGTTTCACATTATACTTCGAACACCTTAACGAATCACGAAAATATATTAAGTAAGCAGCAAGTATACTTCACTGAAAGTTCAGTTGAACATAAACATGCATACTATGGTTAAGATGTAAGCCCACTCAAATATGACAGCAATACCACCTGCAAAGTAGATGGGGTCATCGTTTCCTCCAATCCTCAGGGTGGCAGTCGTTCTGTTCCCTACTTGAGCTCCCCCAGTGGCATTAAGCAAGATAATGGTAAATTCTTCCATTTCCTCGGGAATCTTTTGGAAAATTATACATATTAAGTCAAGTGAATTACCCATACAATTATACTATATACACCAAAATCAATATACTTAAAACAAAAAAATGAACTCTTTTAGGAATGTAATGTTGGAGCAACCTACTAATGGTTCATGCCTGTAATCCTGGTTATTCAGAAGGCTGAGATCCAAAGGATCTTGGTTCAAAGCCAACTAAGCAGAAAAGGTCATGAGACTATCTCCAAAATAAACAGCAAAAAGCAGAGCTGGAGGCACAGCCCAAGCAATAGGAAACCTACCAAGTAATAAGCAGAAGACTCTAAGTTCAATCTGCAGAAATACAGGAAAATGAATGCTAATATTCACTTCCATTTCCAAGGCAGACACTTAGTCAAATAATTCTTCTAAAACTAAAGTATTCTTAGCCAGACACCTGTGATCCTCCTACTCAGGGTGCTGAGATCTAAGCATCACAGTTTCAAGCCAGCCAGGTTAGAAAAATCTGTAAGATTAGCCACCAAAAAAAGCAAGCAATGAAGTTGTGGCTTATGTGGAAGAGCCCTAGCTTTGAGTAAATAATAGCTCAGGGACAGTGCTCTGGCCCTTAATTCAAGCTCCAGGACAAGCACAAAAATAAAATAAAATAAAGAATAAACTATTCTTAAAAGACTCAGACCCTCTCAAAAACATATTATAAGATGCAGTAATCCAAAAGGCTATTTTATTTTGACTAATGAGAAAGTGTAATGGAAATATATTTTGCCTTAAATAAGGTAAAAATAAGCCAGGTGCTGGTAGCTTACATCCTAGCTACTCAGGAGGATGAGATCTGAGGATCATGGTACAAAGCCAGCCCAGGCAGGAAAGCCCATAAAACTCTTATGTCCAATAAACTACTCAGAATAAGCCGGAAATAGAGCTATTGCTCAAGTGGTAGAGCACTACCCTTGAACCAAAGAAGCTCAGGAACAGTGCCCAGGCCTTGAGTTCAAGCCTCAGGACCAGCATAAAACCAAACAAAACCAAAAAAGAAGGCAAAAATAAACATGCTATATAGCTTACATTATTTCCATGAAAATAGGAAAAATATTGTCTATAAGAAAAAATAATTAGGTGACACACTTAGAACATAGTAAGCAACAGACCCAGATCTAAACCTCTTAGAAACTTCACAAGATTTCACATGAGAATCATGAAGACCTTACTTCCATGTCCTAGCAAGATGAGATTCCCACATCTTATCTAGTGAGCAGTCCTCTCCTCGCTACATTTTTGTCTCATGAGGAAGAAAGAGCCTTCACAGCTCTTCTCAGCACAGCCCTCTGAGAAAGGTTTGGTTTCCAGTGTTATTAAGTTCTTTCTCTCGTATCAGTAAGATGAGGGACTATGTTGGGCCCATTATTCTATGGCTGAGGGTTCTAGTTCTTAGCATGAACCACAGGATACACAGGAGATAACTTCACTTCAAAGACAAGCCAAGTGCTTAAGATCCCCCAAACTACTACTATCAGTTCCAACAGTGAAATATACTTTCAAGGAAAGCCAAAATAATGTTACTTTGGTCAAATATTGAGCTTTTGATCAGATACTTTCATCACAAAACGCTACCAGATATTTAATTTTTTAATAAAAATAATGACTGAAGCAGGAATATAGTTCACTGATAAGATACTTGCCTAGCATGCACATGACTAAAGACAATTCTCAACACCCAAGATAAAATAAAACAAAAACAAAAACAAAAAATGATTGAGCAGCTACACTAAGTAAATATATACAATATTTACCTCATCTGGAAGGGAGTAGACAGTAATATTTTTTGAAAATTCCTGATCTCCAAAGAAAATAGTCCCTTGTACAGGAAATACATCTTGTGTAAAGTCTGGACTAACCACCCACGATACATTAACATCACCAAAGTTGCCTTGATTTCTTACCACACCATAAATAGCTGAGAAATAAAAACATATAATATAGATGAACATATATTAAACTTTAAAACCAGCAAAGAATTTGCTCAAATAAACAAAAGTAAAAAAACAAACTCCTTTTAAAAAAACCAAATTATATGTTTAGCACATCCACTGAGGTTTATATTTTAAAAAACAGCTTATTCTTCCTTCTGTATGTATACAATTAATATAATAAAATAAATGTGCTGAATATCTCCTATCAGTTTGAATTTTTTTTGTTGGTCATAAGGCCTTAACTCAGCCTGGGTGCTGTCTCTCAGCTCTTCAGCTCAAGGTTAGTGCTCTACCACTTGAGCCATAGTGACACTTCCAGCTTTTTCTGCTTATGTGGTGCTGAGAAATCAAACCCAGGGCCTCATCCATGCAAGGCAAGCACTCTACCACTGAGCCACCTTCCCAGCCCTCAGTTTGAATTTTTTAAGTCATCTGGAAAATGATATCTGAAGGCATTTAGAAGAAGCTTGACCTATCCACTCAGAGTGATTTTCTTGGACAGACCTGTCTTCAAATACACAAGATTATGTAAACCTAGTTTGAATGTTTGAGTGCCTGAGTTGCACTGTATCTGGTGAACTGAAATCAAAATACAGCTGCAGTTATCAGTATCATCACAATGTTTAGGTAAGTATGAAGTGTTCATAGATTTATTTATAACACAGTTTTGACTATGGCTGATCAAAACAATAATAATTTTAAAAACCAAAAGAAATTTCCAAAACAATTAAATTTTCATGTGTGCATTACACAGCTCAATTAATGTGCAGAAGTTCTCAGTCAACCCCAAATATTGTCACTTGTGTTTAAATCATTCTATGACCTGCTGAGTGTTTCCCTGGCCTTAATTTTGTGACAATCTGCCTGCCAGAAATAAATGCCGACTGTAAAGCAAAGTAGAAGTTAATGGGTTCAAGTTTTTTAAAAAGTGAAATTTTTAGATTTGTTTAAAGGCAGCATATCTTTAGCAGGAATTGTGAGCCATTCATGGGAAACCTAAGCATCCATAGTACCTCAGAGAGCTATATGCATCCTGTACATTTCACTGTTTTTCCTAAGTGGTGGACTCCTTGAAACCATCTACCTATGAATATGAAAGATCAAATATACTATGTAAGAAATAAAAATGAGCAATACTAAATTTATTTACTACATGTGGTTTCTGAAGTAGAATGGACAATTCAAAATAACTTGTTACAGCTGGGCACAGATGGCTCATGTCTATAATTGTAACTACTCAGAAGGCTGAGATGTGAGGATCAAATTTCAATACCAGACAAGCAGATGAATCCATCTGATTTGTGTGTCCAGTTAACTAGCAAAAAAATAAAAAAGCACCAAACTGAAGGTTCACATGGTAGAGCACCAGTCATGACAGAAAAAGTCAGGCAAGAATGTTAAGCCCTGAGTTCAAGCCCTAGTACCAGCACAAAAACAAATATATATATGCAAATATATATAAATATATAAAAATGTATATATACAAATATATATGTATATGTATACATAAATCAGTATTAAGGCTCCTTAAAAGACTGCACCTAGAGGTCACCTATGATCCAGCAATCCCACTTTGGAGCGTTTACCCAAATGATCACAAAAAGCACATACTAAAGCTACCAGCACAACTACGTTTATTGCAGCATTATTCACTATAGCTAAGATATGGAACTAACCCAGATGCTTAGTTTAATGGATCAAGAAAATGTGCTATATATATATATAATGGAATTCTATGCCTCCATCAGAAAAAATGACATTGCCCCATTTGTTAGGAAATGGAAAGACTTAGAAAAAATTGTATTAAGGGAAGTAAGCCAGACCCAAAGAAACATAGGTCCTATGGCTTCCCTTATTTGCAATAACTAGTATATATCTAGGATAATCTTACCAGACAAGCAGAAAATGCCAAAAGCTATGTATATATGACCATATAAGATGATGCTAAGTAAAATGAACCTCAAGATAGGGACACAAGAGGTTTTTTCCTTGTCAATCTTGGTTTTAATGTACTATATGATTTTTTTGTTTCTTTTGTATGTTCTTCCCCCATAGTATAATCCCTGTTGTCACTGAATTTGATTCTGATGCCCTGAATCTTGTATATACATTTTTTTCTAACTTGGGAGGGGAAGGGAAATAACAAAATGCTGAAACAAGGATACAAGTTGACCCATTATAACAATGAGATATATAAGACACTATGTTGAAAACAACCCTTGGGGTTGGGAAGGAGTTGGGGAGGTGGAGAGAGAAGGAATAGTAGGGAAAAAACAAAGGATGGATAACAATGCTCAATAGGAAATGTCCTCATTACCTTACTCATGTAACTGTAACCCCTCTGTACAGTATCTTTACAATAAAAATATGTAAAATATATATATACATATATTTATTTACTAAAGATGTAAACTAAAAAATGACAACTTTCTTCTTCAGTAAATAGAAATAAAATATAGAAAGTAAAATAAATTACCACTGTAGGTATCATCTCCTTTGCTTTCATTTATCATCATAGTTATACCATCAGAAACAAATTCTATAATCCCGTGAGGATCATCATTTTTTAGAATTGTTATGTTGACGACTGTCGCGCTTCCCAGTTTGCTCTCCCTTTCACCATGGCTGCTGAGAACCACCCAATAGTGCTCGTCCAACTGTAACCAAGATAGCAAATTAGGATAGATGGAAGACTAATTTCTACAGAAAATATGCATGTATTCAATGATAGTATATTTAATTTTTCATAAGCATACAAATTATTTAAAAGACAAAAGAGCTGATAGTCCTAGAAAAAATAGCTACCAATTAAGAAACACAAAACGTAAGTCTACATCATCCTGAAAGGAAAAAGATAAACAATGGTATTAATTCTAAAGTAGGAATGAGTCATATTCATGGATGAACTAGTAGTCCTTTAAACTAGCAAGAGTAAAGAAGAGAAATATGTAAGCTGCAGGTGCACTGAAGTGTAAACATAGCAAAACTATATGTGGACATGCTAACATACACGTATTTGTTTCCCTTAAAAAGTGATTGTAGCCAGGCACCAGTGGCTAACGTCTGCAATCCCAACTACTCAGGAGGCTGAGATCTGAGGATCATGGTTTAAAGCCAGCCTGGGCAGGAAAGTCCATGAAAGTGGAGATGTGGCTCAAATGGTCAAGTGCTAGCTTTGAACAAAATAGCTCAAGAACAGTGTCCAGGGCCTGAGTTCAAGTCCATGAACTAGTACAAAAAAAAAATAGTTAACTTTCATTTCAAAACCACATCACTAAAATTTCCATTAAAACAGCTTATATAAATAATACAAATGAAGATAATACACATAAAGATAAAAATAATACAAATAAAGATAAAAAGAGATAAAACCTGATCACACAGTGAAGTCTCAGATGGTTTGGTTTGGGCATTGCTCTTCATAGGACAAAAACAGTTCATCTGAAACATATGTTTGGGTTCTTAAGCATTTTTTTTTAAATTTCCAAACAAACCCATTTCTCATCCTGTAGCTTTCGTAACAATGTTCAAAATATTTATAACAAAGACTATCAACAAAGACTATCAACTTTCCACAAAAGCAAATACCTCTGGTATGCCATCCAGTCTGGTCAGTAAGGTGATCACTATTTCTCTTTCGCCGGGCTTAAATTCTAAGACCCCCATGTTCCCGTAGAATTCACCATCTCGTGGCTCCACTCTGTAGTGCAGGAACTGTTTTACCAGAGCTCCCCTGGAACGCATGATGTGGAGCTCTACAGCTTCTCCTTCCTTTCAAAAACAAGACCCACGAAAGTGGGAGTCATTTTAACTCATCCTTCCACAGCTGTGGGCCCAGTGGAAGGTTCAAGCTTACCTTTATGACATAGGGTCCTCTGGAAGCAGGACAAAATTCAAAAACTCCCCCAGGATCATCATTTTCCAAAATAACTAGGTCGCGACTAGTATATCCAGATTTTAGCACTTGATTTTCCACGTTGGCCCTGGAGAAGTCAGAAGGGTAAAGAGAGGCACTCCTTATAGTAATACTGCTGAATTTTGCTCTACTACAGCTCTCCCAGATAATAAAAGGGAAATAATTAGAAACAACACCTTAATGTGAATGTACATATACTAAAATCATCTATGACAATAATGGTCTTAGAACACTTACAGAACAACTACTTCTGAATTCCTTGTATCTTAGATATCAGTCTATCATTAGAACTGATCAAAGAAATGCAAGAATCTGAGAGTTTAAAAGCCAGAAAACTCTTAAGAATTTTCCATCTTGAAAGCTTCTCTGAATCTTTCCGAATGTCACTCCTATTGAACTAAAACATACTCATATGTGGACCTCAAAGACAAAAGATAAACTGGGACATGATAAATTATACAGATCTCTAGACATTCAAACAGTGAGACTAAAGGAAGGTATTTATACGAGAGGATCACTAAAGTTCAGTAACTATGTGCATGTGATCAGATAAAATGGTATTTACCAAAATGAACCCCAAGAAATGAAAACAAGGGTTCTCTGTTTTTTTTTCTTTGTTGCTCTTTTTGTTTTCTGTACCCTTTGTCTTACCTGTAAATTTATCTATTTTAGGGAGGTTAAAGGAGGCAAAGAAAAGGTGTGACAAAGGGTTAACAAATTCAACAGTGGTACTCACTGGACACTATGTTGAAAATGAACTATATAATTTGTGGGTGGGGAAAGGAGAGAAAAATTGGTGGGGAGGGGAGATGTGACATTGTTCAAAAAGGAATGTACCCTTTACCTGATGTATGTGACTGTGACCCCTCTGTACATCACTTTTACACTAACAATAAAAATATATTTTAAAACATCACAGTAAAACCACAACTAATATGTAGAACTATGTATAAAAGGCAGCATAATAGAACATATGAATGAATACCTTTCCCAGGCTTTCAGAAACTTAAGAATCCACACTTAGCATGTCAATGACTACAGAGGAATCTAAACAGTATAATTATTATTTTGTTGCTAATGACAATGATTTTTCCATATAAATTTGTCCCCATTACTCTTACATTAATATCTTATAATTTAAAGTTCCTGTACTCACATAACCTAGTAGGTAAGAACCTGAATCTAAATGAAAAATATAACCAGGCATTGGTGGCTCATGCTTGTAATGCTAGCTACTCAAAGACTGAGATCTGAGGACAGTGGTTCAAAACCAGCCAAAATAGGAAAGTCTGTGAGAATCTTATCTCCAATTAACTATCAAAAAACTGGAAGTGGATCTGTGGTTCAAATTACCAGCTCTAGTAAAAAAAATCTAAGCAAGAGGGTGAGACCCTGATTTCAAGTGATGGTACTAGCGCACACATGCACGCACGCACGCACGCACGCACACACACACACACACACACAACAGTAACCTATAAAAATTTACTCCAAGCATTAAACAATAGAATTTTTTAACTTTCTTAAAATATGCCACCCATAAGTAAAAGGTAAATTTTGAAAAGTTCTATATAAAACACGCATGAAAGCATAAATTAACTCAGACAAGTAAGAAAAGTGTTAAATACCTGTTAAACAAGATGCGATTCATAATTTCACAAATAAAGTACATTCTTAACTATTCCCTAAGTTATCTATAAACATATAGAAAATTAAAAATATTCTTCAGAATTAAAGTTCTTCAAAATATGTGATAACACTAATTGTTAGACTTTTTTTTCCTGGTCAGTCCCTGAGCTTTTTTGCTCAAGGCTAACAATCCATCCCTTTAAGCCATAGCTCCACTTTTGGTTATTGAGTGGATAATTAGATATAAGAGTCTCATGGGGACCTTCCTGCCTAAGCTGACTTTGAATGGCAATCCTCGGATCTCAGCCTCCTGAATAGTTAGGATTATAGGCATGAGCCACCGGAGCTGGCTAGACATTTTATTAAATATCTTAATCACATTCCTAACTGAAAACTTAAGAACCCCCCCCCCCTCAGAGCTTCAAATAATATGCTGAAATCACATACACAGCATGCACTGGACAAGGAGCATTTCTCAGGATCTGGGACCATGCAGAACTCCCCCCATCTCATCCAAACACAAGCACTTAAAAAAACAAAATGACAAATCACCAAAAACAAGGTATTATCTTTGAACACTTACCCAAAATACACGACAAATCTTTCTGTTTCTACCCTGTCAACACAGAAAACACCGTGGGAGGGAGGAAAAATGAGGCAGAGGCACCATTTACCAAAAAGCTCACCAATATTTCTAGAAACTTAGCATGACAGGATAAAAATAAAGCTAAAGAAAGCTTTCTTGTTTCCTCCAAGACCCTGTAATGTTTGCTTTCTGGGAATTATGCACAGTGTTCTTTGCCAGTGAAAAATGCTCGGAAGAGGTTGAACAGTGCTCAATTATGGAAGTTGACCTCATGGCCAGCCAGCATATCAAGGTCTATTCAAGGCTTTCCTTTCCTGCCTCCTCTATGGTGCTTGTGTCTGCCAAGAATTGTGCCTGCTTTACACATTGGCACCTGAGCACATTTCACTCATCCCTACTCATATTTACATAGTAGTTTTAATTAGATTTTTAAAACTCCATCTTTAGATCTAATGGCTTTTGTTGAGTTAGAAACATTAAAATTCTGTAGCAAAAAATTTACACCTGATATGGTTTATGCAGAAACATATTCAAGAAGTCATAGAATATCACAATAAGTTTTCATTACAATTATATATCAGGAAATAAATATAAATACTTTTTCCAATCTCAACAATGTCTCTTGTTTTCAAATCGCCATGCAAAGCTCTATCAAAATGTAAAGGCATTTTTGAGTATAATGTTTAAGTCAAATGCATCATTAATAAATATGGAGCTTCCTATCACATACTTAAATTCCTTCTGATTATTTGTGATTTGGAGAAGATTAACTCTACAGTATTTTTAGAGACTATGGTATTGAAAGCAACTAGTTATTTAGTGTAAGAGAAATTTTTATTATCTTAAGCTGAAATACAAAGAATTTAAGTTTACATTTAACATTTCAAGAAAATTGTAAACTATGTCCTAATAAGAAGTATAACTCTATTTTATGAGAAGGTTGTATTGTGAGTCCCTCAATCAATCACACCTCCTATTGTGCATTTATTGTTTCACTTAACTTTTGCTACCAATCCACAAAATTACAAGAAGGATCTGCTAACACAGACCCTTTCAAATCATAAATTTTATTCTTATTATTTAACTAAATGTTTTCATGCTTCAATGTAATTTGCTTATTCTTTTTTTAATTTTTTTTATTTTTATTGTGAACATACTGTACAGAGGGGTTACAATTACATGGGCAAGATAATGAGTACATTTCTTATCAAGCATTGCAGCCTCCTCCTTTGTAATTTGCTTATTCTTGATAATACACTAATTACTAATTGAATGAACACACTGTAGCATATATTTTAATTAATTTCTTCTATTAGAAAAGAACTAGCAGGATGACCCATTGTAACAATGAAAGACACTATGTAGAAAATGAACTTTACAACTTGGGGAGGTGGAGATGGAAGGGATGGTAGGGGAAAAACAAAGGAAGAGGTAACAACGCTCGATAGGAAATGTACTCATTACCTTATTCGTGTAACTGTCACCCCTCTGTACACTATTTTTATAATTAAAAACATAGAAAGAAAAGAACTAATAATTTCTGAAATATTCTATCATTTGTATCCATAGAGAGAGGGGGAGAGAAAAGCAAGACACATTAAAATTATGTTAATTTCAAATGTTCATATGACAAAACTCAAAATTACAATTTTGAAGGAAACAAAAAATTATCACTAAATGTTTTGCAAGTAAAATCTAAAGTAATCTTTAAACATTCAGTTAAGAGCAAGCACTCTGAGGTAAGCTAACAAAGCTTAGCTTCCAACTGCTACAGTTCCAAGTTAAACACTGCTGATTATTGTTTAGTTTCTGCAAGATTATTCACTGATTTAAGAGATATTAAAGCTTAATGAAGAAAAAAAAAGATAAAAAGAATGGTTCCTAGCTTGTATTATACTGATTTTTGACATGTAAAATATCTTTCCTAAGATTAATTCTGTAAACTATATAAAAACTATTATCTATTAGACACTGTAGACACTGTGTGTGTATATGTGTGTATGCACCGAGTGCACTTGCAGGTACACACACTTGCATTTAGTTTGCTCTCTTCACTTTCATTGTTTTGTTTTACTTTTTATGGAAGAAAGAAAATAAACAAACATAGCATGGTTCTGAGGGCAAATAATGACCCTCATAGATTTGTTCTCTGTATTCATTAATACAAGAATGAAAATCACCAAGTGCCAGTAGCTCACGCCTGTAATCCTAACTATTCAGGAGGCTGAGATCTGAGGATCGCGGTTCAAAGCCAGCTTGAGCAGGAAAGTCCATGATACTCTTATCTCCAATAAACCACTCATAAAACCAGAAATGGCACAGTGGCTCAAATGGTAGAGTGCCAGCCTTGATCTGAAGAGCTCAGGGACATTGCCTAGGCCCAGAGTTCAAGCCCCACGACTGATAAATAAATAAATAAATCACTCATTTCTATAAATATGTTTGAAGAAAATATCTTCAAAAGAGGATATAGTAATAGTTAATTATAAAATACAGAAAAGTCTGTGGATTACATAAAACAATTCTTATTACTTTATTCCTATAGAACACAGATATCTCAAATTTAGCCATGGATTTCACTATTTCTAAATAAGAATGTACAGTATCTTAATATTACATTAACTTTCCTTATATTTGTATCAAAATTTATTTTTAAAAAACTGTAGAAGATAAACTTGTTTTTGCCTTATACTTTTTGGATTTGTTTTACTTTTACTTTTTAAGTTTGTCAGTACTAGGATTTGAATGTGGGGGCTTAACTCTGCTAGACAAGCACTATACCAATTGAGCTATGTTCTCAGCCAGCTTTGCCTGTTATTTTTCCAATATGTCTACATTCTGCCCATGGCTGGCCCCCACCTACAATCTTCCTACCTACACCAGCTTTCTAGTATCTGGGTACACAGAGGCATATCACCACACCAGGCTTGTTCTTGACAAGGATTTCAACTTCCTGCCTCTATTAGACTCAGACCTCAACTATCCTGATTTACCTGTCAAATAAGTGGGATTACAAGCATAAACTACCAGGTCTAGTCTTTGGTTTTTGTTTTGTTTTATTTTAATCATTATCTAATTAAACTCAGTAGTACTTATTTTTAGAGATTTCTGTATAAGACAACTGTAAAAGTTTCTTACTATAAAGTGACTTCTGAGAAATGCTTAATAACTTGCTATTATGAATGAAAAGTTGCCCCTTTAATTTGATTAATTTTGATTCTCTAGGAAATAAACATAATTCAATGTTTAAATTCCCTGTTAAAAACAAAAAATAAAGATTAATTGCTAAATTCATTATTAAAGATTAATGCTTTATTACTTGAAAAAGTTCTAACCTGCTCCCCTACAGAAAAACAGAGATTTGTGTAACTTAACAATTCAAGTATATGACTAGTGCCTGTTGCTTTTCATAAAGAATCAAATTGGCTTTGCTTCAGATTTCTTTAATACCTGCTGTAAATCCTCTATTCAATGTTTATTCATACAAATAGCATTACTTCAAATGGAGAAACGAATAAAATGAAACTCAAGGTTATCTAGAGAACACACTCACAAAGGTCACAAGGAGTTATGTGAGTGGCCTCTTACCTGTCTAGAGAAAGTGTGAGAGTTTCATTCATTTCCGGTATGTCATCACCCTTGACAGTAATGTTGATTGTTGTATCACTTTGACCAGATAAAAATACAACAGAGCCATTAAAGGGATCCAAATCATCCATGGTTACCACTTTTGAATTAAAGGCAGAGGGCTTCAAACTCCAGTAGACAGTAGCTTGGCCATCAGTTCCATCACGATGTAAGGGAATGTACACCTTATTTTTAAAAATAAAAGAAGAGCAAGTTCTACTAAAATGTATGCTCAAAAATAAGGTTGAGTTTGCCAGTCCTCACATACATATGAATATGTATTCTTTATATGAAGTAAACTATTAAGTGACATTAATAACAATTAAAAACAGTGGTGTTATATGCTTCTAATACTAGCACTTGAGAGACAGAGATAGGATTGCCCTTCAAAACCAGCCTAGGCAAAAGTACTAAAAAGAAAAAAAGAAAAAAAAAAGACCAATAAAAACAAAAAAAGCTGGATTCATCATGCAAGTCCTTAGAGTATGCCTGGAAAGCACAAAGCTATGAATTCAAGCATCAATACCAAAACAACAAAAAAAGGAAAGAAATGTAGCCAGGCACCAGTGGATAATGCCTGTAATCCTTAACTACTCAGAAGGCTGAGATCTGAGGATTATGGTTTGAAGCCAGCCTCAAGGAAAGTCCTTAAGATGCTTATGCAATAAACTACTCAGAAAAGGCCAGAAATGGTTCTGTGGTTCAAGTGGTAGAGTGCTAGCCATGAGCACAAAGAAGCAAAGTGACAGTGCCCAGGACCAGCAAAAAAAAAAAATCTATAAAATTAACCCTCATATCTAACAAGGATTTGTCTTAATAGAAAGACAAAGGTATTTAAAGCTAAAGAATCCTGAAGAAAGTAGAACAATCTTGCTAAATATTGTTTTTTCTCAGAGGTTCTCTAAAAAAAGAATTCAATATCAGAACATAAATTGGAAAATAAACTTTGTCATTAAAACTAGAAAGCATTATGTACAAATATTGAAAAATGATACAAAGCAAAGTGAGAAAATGTTACTAACCAACAGAATAAAAACATAAAAATAAAACTGAATAATGAATCATGACTTGGTTACTTTGTGCAAGTTATTTAACCTCTCTAATCTAGATTTTTGCATGTGAAATAAAGCTACTGATTCCCAGCAAGATGTGGCAAGAAGTACTTCCTGATCTTGCCACAGAACAAGCTAAATAAATGGACAATATTATACTAATTCTGAAACAAGCTCTATTTGGTAGTTGTGTTCTTATGAAGCACATTTTAAGTACATAAATATATAGACCATGATGAACTCTTTTCAAAGAATATACACAGTATAATCAAACAGATGCTATTTTCTTTACACTCCTAAGATAGATATCATCTTGTATCTTTGATTTTTACATAAGTCAGTTTTGAAATACACAGAATTTAATATATGTTATATATTATAATTTCATATTATTATATTATATGTTATATAATATTATATTACATATTATATATACCTACCCAAAGTAACAGTAATATATATAACAGTATATATAACAGCAATATATAACAGGATATATAAATAGTAGAATATATAAGCAGTTATATACATTGGTTTATATATTACTATATATATGCATTTGTGTGTAAATCATATATTTTATACAAATAATATATACAAATAATATACATACAAATATATATACAAATAATATATTTTATTGTAATATATAATATATTATACAATTTATATACACACACACACACATCACTACTACTGTGGCTACCAATGGTCAGAACTTCACACCACAATGTAAGATTCTTAGGGAAGAAAAACTAGCAAACAAAAAACTAACAGAGGCTGGCCTCTTTGTCACCTGAGGGATAGGGCATATTTGGATCATTATGTCATATTTGGGTTATTAGAAAAGCTAGACACTCCTACTTTTACTGTTCTCAAAGAGAGCAATTCAAGCACAAACATTAACCTCTGAAGGATAAAGTTGAAATCGAGATATTAAAGATTTCAAGCTCTTTTAACTAGGCTGGCTAGTGCTCTTACTCTCCCTCCCCCCCTCTCCCCTCCTTCTCTCTCTTTCACTCACTCTCTGTAGATAGATGACAGACAGACAGAATCTAAACATTACTTCAAACTCATGAGGCCATGTCAATAAGAAAGAACTTTCTTACCATTTCAGCAGTAGACTCTTCTGGTTCATGTAAAATGATTGGAAGGTTGCTAATAAAGCCAATTTCTCCATTTGCAATGGCCGGAGTAACTAGTAATGTAATATTTCGAATTTGTCCAAATCTGGGACTTATAGGTGGGATTGGGGGAAATATGTTCACCAACACTGCAGTTTCCAACTATAATAAACAAAGACAGGGGAGAAAGCTTAAAATTCAAAAGCAAAAACCCTTGCACTGGGAGCATAGCACAAATGGTAGGTAGAACACTTTCCTAACAAGGGTGAGAACTGGGTTCAATCATCTTCACTGCAAAAGGAAGGAAAGGGAAGGGAGAGGAAGGAGAAAAGACCAGGGTATGGTGGGCTGGGGAGGGATGAGAAGGTAGGGGAGATACTCTCTGGGCCTCTCTATTGTTTATAATAATAAATAGCACTCTATATCACATAAATGCCACAGAGATACTTACAGGTAGAGACTATCCAGACAGAAATCATATCTACTCCATGTCACCTCACTACGACCATCACCCAGCTTTTCTATGATCACATAAATCCCGTCTATGTCTTTATCTATTTAAAGCCAAACCCAGAGAATGGCTCACACCTTTTATCTCTCATCCACTGACGAAGACTTTCAACTACTCATTCACTCCTCTCCTTTGCCCAACTTTATCTAGTATCAGAAGACCATTCACAACTTCCATTCTAATTTAACTATTTAACTAATTTAATTATATTAAAAACAGAAATTCAATGCAAGTATAAACAGCAAATCCCTATAATCAAGGTGGCACTGAAATGCTCACTCCAGGGTGATTGCACTTAGATTGTTCCCCATGGCCACCTCACAAACACAAAAGGCACCGATCCTTTCAACCAGCTAAATTTCCTTCCTCTTTCATGAAGCTTTCCTTGAATTGTCCAATCTTCTTCATTCTGCTTTTTTCTGAAGTTCTACTGCTACTCTCATTAAGCTTAGAACTTCATTACAAACTTCACATGTTCCCAGACTTTCAACATTTAACATATTACTAAACTCAATTTATAAATCCATGGTGTTTTTTTGAGATTTGAAGGAACTAAGAAGCATTTCAGGATTGTGAAAAACAGACATGAATATAAAAAACAGAATGGATGTGTACACCAAACCAAGTAAACTAAAACATATAATACTTTGGTATAATTCATTTACTTTACAAAGTAAATATAAAATACAAAATGTAAACATATAGTCAAAAACCACATTTTCTTTTTTCTAGAGAAAGGAATGTATACATCCATGTATAGTCTTATATTCCATATATTCATATGTTCATATATCCATATATTCATCTTACAAAATAGTACAAGGAAAAATAGATTTGAATTGGACCTAAAATCTAGAGTATGCTTAAAGGCAAAGATGCTTCTAAAACACATTGGTCATATATGTAAATATCTGTGGATGAACTCATTCTATTCAGAGCCACTAAACTGTTAATGCTATCTCAAACATCAAGGAACTAGAGCTCGCTAGATTTTATTTTTACTCAAAATGTTCCAAGACAAAGGAAAATCATTTTAGATATTTTATCAAAAAAAAACTTACAGAAGTAATTCCCAAAGTAGTATTTTAGAGAAATCTTAAAAGATGATATTGAAGATTATGATATGATATAACAGGAAAAGGCAATTTTACACCAGTCTGGCCCATTTCCTAGTCCATAATCCTTTGGTCTGAGACACTGCTCAATCGGACTGTCCTATTCATTCATAAAGAACCAGACTTTGGGGGCTGGGAAGGTGGCTCAGTGGCAGAGCACTTGCCTTGCATGCATGAGGCCCTGGGTTCAATTCCTCAGCATCACATAAGCAGAAAAAAAAAAGGCAGAAGTGGCACTGTGGCTCAAGTGGTAGAGTGCTAGCCTTGAGCTGAAATGCTGAGGGACAGTGCCCAGGCCCAGAGTTCAGGCCCCACAACTGGACCACCCCCCCCAGACTTTGCTTTCACACAGTCTGAACCAGGACAGCACATTAGTAGCCCATATCTAACAACGGTGTATCTGAAACATTAATATTTATTTAACTGAGTTAGAGTTACTAAAGAATGAGGATCCTATCTTTCGGTTCTTCAGTTTCATTTGGATTCCCAGCCAGTCTAGTGCTTCTTATTCTTCAGTTGCTTATTCATTGTGGATTAGACAAGCTATGTAATCTTCTCATTCAACCTGCCTTCCACTTTATAGCTGTTTTAACCTCAAGGAATTGTGTCAGGGATAAACAAGATATATATTAGCTATCTGCATTGTAGAGCTTTTGTTTTCCCACTGAATAGGAAGACACGTGAAGAACTGAGTCCAGTTAGTAGACCAAACAACTTTATAGTCAAGATCAATAAAAAAATCAGATACTAGTATATACATTTTTCTAATTTGGAGAGGGGAAGGGAAATAACAAAATGCTGAAACAAAGATGCAGGTTGACCCATCATAACAATGTTTCACTATGTTGAAAACAAACTTTACAGCTTAGGGAAGCGGGGGAGGAGGGAGCCGTTGGAGAGGTGGGAAAGGAAGGGATGGTAGGAGAAAAAAAAAGGAGGGGATAACAATGCTCCATAGGAAGTGTACTCATCACCTTACTCATATCATTGTAACCCCTTTGCATAGTATTTTTTTTTTTGCTATCCCTCAGCTATTCAGTTCAAGGCCAGTGCTCTACCACTTGAGCCACAATGCTACTTCCAGTTTTCTAGGGGTTTTTATTGAAGATAAGAGTCTCATGGACTTTCCTGCCCTGGCTGGTTTTGAACCGTGATCCTCAGATCTCAGCCTCCTGAGTAGCTAGGATTACAGGTGTGAGCCACCAGTGCCCAGTTGTACAGTAGCTTTACCATTACAAAAAAGAAAGAGAGAGAGAGAGAGAGAGAGAGAGAGAGAGGAAAGAAAGAAAGAAAAGAAAGAAAGAGAGAGAGAAAGAAAGAAAGAAAGAAAGAAAGAAAGAAAGAAAGAAAGAAAGAAAGAAAGGAAGGAAGGAAGGAAGGAAGGAAGGAAGGAAGGAAGGAAGGAAGGAAGGAAGGAAGGAAGGAAGGAAGGAAGGAAAAGGAAAAGAACTTTACAACTTTGGGGGGAGGGAGGAGTTGGAGAGGTGAGGAGGAAAAACGAAAGAGGGGATAATAATGCTCCATAGGAAATGTACTCGCTATCTTACCCATGTAACTGTATCCCCTCTGTACAGTATCTTTACAATAAAATATATATAAATTTTTTAAAAATCAGATACTGCATTTTTCAAGTGTTTTCTTAGCTTTCAAAAGTTGTCAAACAAATTCTGTGGTGTTTATATTGAATGATGACTTGAAATAGCTAGGATAACATTTGATCCTCAGAAAGTTCTTAAGGAGGATTTGTTTATGTGAAAATTCTCTGCAGCTACTTTGAAAGAACTATCAGATATTTTAAACGTTTACCATAAAAATAATACTTGCGTAAGCAGGAGTTGAGCATGACAAGATATAGGGCACTTAGTTTTTCTTATTAAATAGTTAAAAAAATAAAGTCCAAGTATTCTATCTACATTTAATAGATAAATAAACAGACTTTTTAACCCAGAAATGGTGGCTCATGAGTATAATCCCATCTACTCAGAATAGAGGTAAGACGATCAAGCTTGGTCAGAGTTACCAGGAGAATTTGTCTAATAAACTAAAAGAGGGGCAGGAGATGAGAGTTAAGTTGTACATACAGTATTTGCCTAGTAAGTATGAGACCCTGAGTTCATCCCCAATACCAGAGAGCAAAATAAAAATAGAAGATTTTTTAAACTATTTAAAAGAGAAAAGGGTTTCATATTGTATTTTTTATTTCTGAAATATCTCATTCTTACATTTTCTCAAATCAATTCAAAGCAATTCCAGCTCTCTCATCTAACAGGTTGTTAAATTACCCCATTTTGTCATTCACTAGTCTATTTTGCATTTCATGTCTTGTGTACTTTCAATATCACCTGATTTGATTGCTAATTTTAATATAACCCTCATCCTACTATTGAACATCTTAGAAGCAAACATTGTCTTTGAATTCCCTAAACAACTTTAAGTAACAGAATCTGAAATATAAAGAGAGCACAATAATGGTTAACTAACTTTCATAGAAGTAAGTATACTTGCAGTTTAACTAAAACTGAGATTATTTTAATCATTAAAGTACCTGTACTAGGAAGTGGGCCCCATTTTGAAGGAATGCATCATTTCTTATTGGTAATTTTGTAGCAATTTGTGTTTTATGTTCTGGAAAAATGAGGTAGTTTCTCCTAGAAGTATTTAAGATGCCATCTTTCCCTCTCAAGGGGTCCACAGCTCCTGTGGGAATGTACAGTGCAGAATAAAGCATCCTCACATCTCCTTTGGTTCCTCCTAGTCTCGTAAAACTCAAAGACAAATAGCGTTCCTCTGGACTGCTTTCAATCTTCTGGTTTTCCATAGGAAAAAATGTTATGAGGCCATAAACATCATCACTATCCTGAAGGTAGAATAAAAGCTGTAAATAGAGAGGTAAAATATTAGAGCACAGAATTCTTCCATCTAAGGTTATCAAACTCTGCTTTCTAAGCTATTTTGATGTTTAATATTTATTTCTATAGCATGTCTAAATGATAGCTCCTTTGTTTTTTTAATATATATTTTTATTGTAAAGATACTGTGCAGAGGGGTTACAGTTACATGAGTAAGGTAATGAGTACATTTCCTATTGAGCATTTTTATCCCCTCCTTTGTTTTTCCCCTACCATCCCTTCCCTCCCCACCTTCCCAATTCCTCCCTCCCCACCAAAGGTTGTAAAGTTTGTTTTCAACATAGTGCCTTATACATCTCATTGTTACAATGGGTCAACTTGTATCCTTATTTCAGCTTTTTGTTATTTACCTTCCCCTCCCCAAATTAGAAAAATGTATATACAAGATGCAGGGCCATACTAAAGCCACCAGCACAACTATATTTATCACAGTATTATTCACCATAGCTAAGATATGAAACCAACCCAGATGCCCCCAAGGATGTGGTATACGTATACAATGGAATTCTACGCCTCCATCAGAAAGAATGACACCACTCCATTTGTTAGGAAATGGAAAGACTTGGAAAAAATATATTAAGTGAAGTAAGCCAGGCCCAAAGAAACATAGGTCCCATGATTTCTCTTATCTGTAATAACTAGTATATGTCTAGGACAAGCAGAAAAGGTCAACTATGAACATATGACTATATAAGATGATGCTAAGCGAAATGAACCCGTTAGGGACACAAGAGATTTTATCTTTGTTGCTGTTGTTTTAAATGTATTTATAACGTACTATTTTTTGGTTCCTCTTTTATTTGGGGGGGGAGGGGTCCGGTCATGGCCCTGAATTCTGGGCCTGGGCGCTGTCCCTCAGCTCTTCAGCTCAAGGCTAGCACTCTACCACTTGAGCCACAGCGCCACTTCTGGCTTTTTTTCTTTCTGCTTATGTGGTGCTGAGGAATCAAACCCAGGGCCTTAGGCATACAAGGCAAGGGCTCTACCACTGAGCCACCTTCTCAGCCCCTTGATTCCTCTTTTATGTTCTTCTTTCATGTTTTCAGTGATAGCTTTTTTGCATGAGTAAAAGATAAAACTTTCCCAAGTTACAAAGTTTTGAACATTTTTAAAGAGTAAAATATTAGAGCTGGAGTTATAGCTCAGTGTTAGAAGCATGTGCATGACACACACAAAGCCCCAGATTTCATACCCACTACTAGAGAAAAAAGAAGAGGAAAAAAAAGGAGGGGGGGGGGAGAAGAATTAATTGCAGAAGAAACAGTGTTGAGTTTTCTTTGTGTCCTCTTGGACTAAACAAAACTTAAGCTTCTTGTGATAACATGCTTTGGCTTTCCATAGCACAAAAACACGAAACAAAACTTAAGCTTCTTGTGATAACATGCTTTGGTTTTCCATAGAACAGAAACACAGCAAAGTATTGCAGAACAAGAACTCTACCTCTGCTGGCTCGCTCACTTCCGCACCTCCTTGTATCGTATGAGGCAGAATTTTAAGCAGAAAAGCTTCAGCCTCCTCTGCGAACTCATCATGAACAACGGCAAGAGGAATCGATGCCAACATCTGCCCTTGTGCAAAATGGAGAAGGCCGGAGCTAGGTCTGATATCTGCTGTCACTGGTGAGGGATCACTGCTGTTCCGTGTCAGCACCCAGCTCACAGACACATTGCCATGGGTGCCGCCATTTCTAACCACTGTGATCTCTTCAAATCTAAAATTGTTTAAAAGAATGTACACTGTCACATCACACTCCCTTAGAGTGGCTTCCCCAGTATCAAGTTAGTGAAATAAAAATCTAGCACACGCAAAAAAAAAATGTTATTTTTAAATTTTAAAGAATAGAAAAGTGATAGTGTCCTAAGAAACCATTACCATGAGAATTCATTTGCATAGTTATATCAAATTTAAAATAAAAAGAAAGCAGTGAAGCAATTGTAAGGAAAACGACACATGCAGTGTGTCCAACATCACCAAAATTAAGTCAAATGGCTAGCATGATGGCTCACACCTGTCATCCTAACAATATAGGGGATAGAGATTGAGTAGATTATGACTCAAGGCTAGCTTAGGCAAAACACAAGCAAGATCCACTTCTGAACCAACAAAATCTTAGCATGGTGGTGCATGCCTCTTATCCCAGCTACATGGGATAAGAGGCGTGCTTGAGTGAGAGTAAGTAGAAAGTCTTATTAAAGAAAAAAATAAGTAATGGCTGGGGGTGTTGCATTAGTGGTATACTGCCTGCCTAGCAAGCACAGAGGCCTGATTTCAAACCCTAGTATGACAATATACATACATGCATAAATGCATACATATATAAATGCATATTAAAACAGTTGTAGCAACAGGCTGAAAATAAATCATACCTTGATGTTGTGTCTTCATTAATTACAATTGCTTTTTCAAACAAAATACTATTGAATGAGAGGACTCCATAAGGTTTGTCATTCGGCTTGATGGTGACTTGTATACTCTGAGGGCCTGTTAGCACAGCATCCCCCTGCAAGGTACTCTTTAGTAACATAATGTGAAATGACTCGGCAATCTCTGGTATAGTGTCGTCAATTATTTGAAATTGCAGATGCGCTTCATAAATAAAAGGTGGGAAAAGAATGGTTGTGTTTGGCTGAAGATCAATGAAGTCCAAGTTTTGCTGAGCATGTACTGTTGAATTCCCAGTTAGAACTGTGTATTGCATTGAAACTTCATATTCATCAGATCCAATCAGATTTCCATTGCTATCCTTCCCACGAACCACTGGAATAGAAAGTATATGGTTTTCCTCAGGTACCAAATAGACACTCTGAATGAACCTCACAGGGCCATCATTTTTCTTGATGATGATCTCAACTGAATTCCTAGTGATATTAATCTCCGCTCCTCCTTCTACCTTTTTCAGGTGAATCAAAAATATCTCATCATTTTCTGGCACCTATCAAACAAATAGAAACCATAGTAAAACATCTGTAGCCAGATTATAAAATGCAAAGTACTAGAAGTAACTATGTTTCAATGCCATTATACAGATATATCAAATAACTTAAGGGAAAAATTAGAGAGAAGCACTTTTAGTCTCCATTTACCAAAATCTTCATAAAGCAATGGCATGAGGAATTAATGAAATCCAGTATATCTTTCAATCTTAATGAGAATTTAGGTAACTATAAAGATTAAATAGCAGAAATGGACATAAATTCTAATCATTGTTAGTAAGTTGCTAGGTCAGACATGGTAGCCAAAGTCTAATAATAGGGTTAAAAGCTGTCAGCTTTTATTTTTTTAATATTTTTATTGTAAAGATATTGTACAGAGGGGTTACAGTTACATGAGTAAGGTAATGAGTACATTTCTTATCGAGCATTGTTATCCCCTCCTTTGTTTTTCTCCTACCATCCCTTTCCTCCCCACCTCCCCAACTTGCCCCCTCCCCCACCCGGCCCCACTAAGTCGTAAAGTTTGTTTTCAAGATATGTCTTGTACATCTCATTGTTACAATGAGTCAACCTGTGTCCTTATTTCAACATTTTCTAAATTTGGTTGGTGGTTTTTCTCACAGAAAAATCTGTGAGACTCCCTCTCCAATTAATCTACAAAATATTGGACTAGAGGCATGGTTCAAGTGCTGAAGTATCAGCTATGACCAAGAAAGCTGAATGAGAGCACAAGGCCCTGAGTTTAGTTCCCAGTATTGGAACAAGTCTAATCTAAGAATCTGAAACAATATAGTGAACATCACATAATTGTTCATTTTCAACATTAATTGTTTTCTTTTCCCTAAACATTTTCTAACTCAGATATCAAAAAATATGATATGATAAGTCTGGGAAGGTGGCTCAGTGGTAGAGTGCTTGCCTTGCATGCATGAGGCCCTGGGTTTGATGACTCAGCACCACATAAGCAGAAAAAGCCGGAAGTGGCGCTATGGTTCAAGTGGCAGAACACTAGCTTTGAGCCGAAGAGCTGAGGGACAGCATCCAGGCCCAGAGTTAAGGCCCCAGAAGCAACAACAACAATATATATATACATATATATATATATATATATATATATGTATATATATATGTATATATATATATATGTATATATATATATATATATATGTATATATATATATATGTACATATATATATGATATGAGACATGTTTTCCAAAATATTCCAAAATATACACGTACCCCTTTGGAGAGCGCTATCGAAATACTACATATATCCTGAGTACCTCTCCACTGTGCTACTCAAACTTTTCTTAAAAGCCACAAATTCTATTTAAAAAATGAAAGTTTAAAAAGTAACAACATTATTTTCTCCATCAGTAGCAATATTACAAAGTAAGCCTATTTGTCTCAACAAATAAAAAGGGTGATTTAACTGAGGTCTTTTCATTTTACAAATAAAATGTATCATTAATCATTCCCCCCAAATGGTAACCTTCCAGGTCTCAAAAAGAGTATTTGTTGCCCTCCAGGATAAGATGAACTTAGGAGTTATCAATACTTCCAGTTATTACATCTATCATAAGAAGTTATGTATTAACCAACTATGTCTCCAAACACACAGCTCAATATTAGCATGCTCATAACTGAAGTATAACAGGTGTACTTTACAAAAGATAAGTGCATTTAACTTAATATTTGACTTGACGTCTCCTAAAACTTGGGGACAGTCCTTGTCCCCCAAGTATGCTTAACATTGTCCCACCTCATCATCAAGAACTGTCAAGTTATAAATGACTGTTGCTCTGCCAGGGGGAAAAGTGATATTTCCTCTAACTGGGCTTACGTCTTCATCAGGGGCATTTGGGCCATCCTCTATCTGCAAAGAAATATACAGCAAAATCAATCACAAATTATTTCAGAAGAGTGAGATGCCAGCTCACAAAACTCTGAAGTTTATGGAAAGATGTTTTGCATCTATTGCAAATCTATTCTTCCAATTAACAGGGGCTATAATGTCACTATATATCTTAACTATCATTGCCTTAAACTATGTTGCTTGTAAGATTTCAGTGTTTTCCTCAGTCATTCTATTCAACTTCAGGGAGCTCTAGAAGTACTTTTTTATAAGAAGAATATTTAAGACTAGTAAATTCCCTTCAGAAATGAACCTAAATACCCATTCCAGTACATCCAAGTGGCCTTCAATGTTATTAAACAATGCTGTACCGAGTTGTCCTCATCTGTAAAGTGAACATAAGAATTTTAATTTCACAGACTGAAGGAGGACTGCATCATTCATTTAATAAAGTATTTACTGTAATCTATTCCTGATCTCTTTTGGGTTCTAAGCACATAATAATAGAAAAAGCACACTCCAGCCACATGGACCTATAGTAACTGGATGGAAACAAATGATGAATGATGTGTGCATATCACAGGATAACAAATCTGATGGGAACAAAAACCACAGGACACTGAATTTTGTGAAGGATGTTTCTGTATGCAGAAATAACCAGTGTAAGGTACATATGTCACATGTATGGCAATACAAAGTGTTCCCAAAATGCTATCTATAATTATTTAAACAAAATAACATGATGTGGACTCAATAAAATAACTTATCTTAGATAAACTGAAGATACTATAACTTGCAAAGCTTATTCTTTCTACATATTTTCTATCTTTCCCGTATCTTCAGGCCTGGGAAGGTAGCTCAGTGGTAGAGGGCTTGCCTTGCATGCATGAGGCCCTGGGTTCAATTCCTCAGCACCACATAAGCAGAAACAGTGGGAAGTGGCGCTGTGGCTCAAGTGGTAGAGTGCTAGTCTTGAGCTGAAGAGATGAGGGATATCGCCCAGGCCCAGAGTTCAAGCCCCATGACTGATCAAAAAAAAAAAAAGTATCTTCAAAACTTTATTATCTAACTACATATTTTTTCTTCTTTTTCTTTTTATCTAAGCAGCTGTACAAAGGAGTTGTACAGCTATAGAACTGTACAGTTGTAGAAGCTGGCACCAGAACTTTTGAGTGTTTATTGTAAGTTGAAAATAGCACATTTGATCATATTGTCAAACTGATAAGGTTGAACTGATGAAGGTTCAACTAATCAGTTGAACCTTTAAATGTGAATCTTCAGAACATCAGTTTGGTGATACAGGGATCAATCAATAGGCAGTAAAATGATTTGTTTTAGCTATCATCTGAAAAACTGTCACATTTTTATAAACACTATAATACCCATGGAGCCCTACAGTGGAGATAATTCCTATTTATATCATCATTCCAGTCCAAAAAAAAAAAAAAAAGAGGACTGACCATATGTTAAATACTGTTTTACAAACCTAAAAAAAAATCCATGGATATTTTTAATATATACCCTTGAAAATATTTATCATAATGATTCTACAAATGTTATAGAATTAACATTATCATTCTCTGTTGAGACTTATCATTTCATCATGTCTAAAATAATTTAGTGTCATATAAATTTCACACACAGAAGCAGCAAGAAAAATATTTTTCTGCTGTGAAATCTACCAGATAGCAAAGGTATTTCTTTTTTATTTTCATTGAATATTGTGTTGATAGTATAAAGGGCTTTGATTTACAAAATTGCAGCCATCTGGTATGGACTCTAACGTGTTATCATCTAAAATAATTTCCTGGTAAACTTACCTCAAAAGTCACAGTGACCATTCCATAGGTCCCCTTTTCCCTGATGAGAATAAGAGGCACAGACTCATTTCTGCCCCTGGGCTCACTCACTGTGACTGGCGAAGGCTGTTGGGAAGAGCAGAGACACTGATCAATCAGATATAGGTCGTAAAAGCTCTTACCTAAGAAATGTTGAATTTCTGCAGGCAAACCAGCTCATACTACAGTATAAAATAAGTGGCATTTCTGTCAGAAGTCATGGCACACACCTGCCTGTAATCCCAGCATTCAGGACACAGAGTCAGGAGGATAGGAAGTTAAAGAGGCCCACCTGAGCTACACTGTGATTTCAACACCGACCTGAAACTACAAATAAATCAAAAAAGTGCTACCAGCTAACTGTAGCTGATAAAAGTTGTGAAGTTTTAAAAGTAATAGTGTATAGGAAACAAAAAAACTGGCCAGGTAAAAGATGTTCTGTCTACCACTACTATCTGCTATTATCTATTACCTTGAAAGTTATTTAGCTAAAAGAAAATTAAAATGCTCACAGAACCTGTCAGTTCACAGAACTGAGTTAAGCCTCCACTGGGACCATCTTGCTCCCAAAAACTGTTCCTTTGTCATCAAACAGTTTATCACTGAAAAATAATTGTCAGGACATGACACCTTTCTAGTAGTCTCCTTTTTACTCTCATGACTTTGGATATTTGGTTTGTTTTATTTCATTCTTTTTACCATCCATAAAGGAGAAAAATCATGTAATAGTGTTTCTGAGGAACTGGCTTATTTCACTTAACAGGATGGTCTCCAGCCCCATCCTTTTTTCAGCAAATGACAGAATTTCATTTTTCTTAATGGCTGAGTAAAACCCATTGTGTACAAATTCCACCATTTTCTATAAAAGCTGCTTTTTATTTCCTTTTGTCAAATGGGACATTATATTTTTTATTTATTTATTTATTTTTGGTCTGGTCATGGGGCCTGAACTCTGGGCCTGGGTGCTGTCCCTCAGCTCTTCAGCTCAAGCTAGCGCTCTACCACTTGAGCCACAGCGCCACTACCGGCTTTTTTCTTTTTGCTTATGTGGTGCTGAGGAATCGAACCCAGGGCCTCATGCATGCAAGGCAAGCGCTCTACCACTGAGCCATCTTCCCAGCCCAAATGGGACATTATAAACTTTATCCATGAAGACTATGCGAAGGATGACTGGACCCTCAGAAGCATCTTCAATTGCAAAACCCCTCAAGTAGAACAAGTGGACAGTAAACGTGCTGCAGCTGAAGTTGATGCAATTTGTGCTAAAATATCAAAAACAGGATGGCAGCATCATGGAAAAATAACTTTGATAATTAGCAAACTACTGTCTGGCAGCTACTAGAATCATCACATCGTGACCATACCATAGTAAATGAAATGATCCCAAAGGCATTGTCATTTGATAATACTGTCACAGTAACAGTCCTTGGCCAGCCAAGCTTCACGTTAGCTGAAGGTTTCTAATATGAAAATAAAAAATAAAATGATAAAGTATTTACAAGAAAAATAATGACTTTGATAGAGTAATCTATGTATGTAAGTAATTACAAGGAGCCTGAATGATAATACAAATATACTTTTAACACATTAAGAAAAGGGATTCATATTAAGTCCCAAATGAAAAATTTTTAAACAGTTCATAAACCATTAACCACAATTCATGATATCTAATATCATAATTTTAAGTAATCACTAGCTACTCATACTATATTGTAAGTTACATTGTGATTGGTATGAGGTCATTGCTAATAGAATAAAATAAACATGCAGTACAAAACTTTATTCAAATGTGATCTGTTTCTCACATGATAGAAAATGCTTAATCTTGTTATTCTATGAATCAGTACCCAGAGATAAAATATTACAGAAATTTTTATTTTAAAAACTGCAGTTTTCTACATGTCTACTGATATACAGAGTAACACGAAGGAGCATGTTAAATACATAAATTACAACATCAGAGCCTAAATGTTTCAAGCAGCAGTTTCACAAAATTTCAATCATACTGACAAAACTACTTTGGAAAAAAATAAACTATCAAGGTCCCATAGAAAATAAAATGGAGCAGTGCTAGAAGTTACTGACTCAACCTAATAAATCAAGCTATAAAATAAGTTCAATTAGATCTTAGGCTAGTCAAGTCCCCACCTCACCCCCAACTTCCCAGGGTTCTCACAAAGACCTTCCACTTTCATGCTTGCTTTTTGTGTCCTTGTATGAACTTGGAAGTTATTGTCTTTCTTTATGAATCTGGTAGTTAGAGAATAGCTAAAAGAAAAAAAGGCCAAAACAAGGCGAGATTTTCTGCAGTATCTGTCCTGACAATTCCTAATTAAGGTGAATGAATCCTAGCTGTAGATCTCAACAGGACTGATAGAGAATAACCAGACAGTGAGATTACCAAAGAGATTTTCAGTTCTGGTTTAGTTAAAATCCATTGCACCACCTGAATTGGCTTCTTTCAATAAGTAGATTTTTTTAAATTGTAGCAAGAATTTTTTATGAGCTTAAGGTAAAGGAGGGTAGAAAAACTCACTTGTAATGTCAAGTGGAAGATGAAAGTTTCATCGGGTTCTGGTAGGTCATCATCACATACCGCGATGTACACTGTCCTATTTGTTTCTCCCACAGGTATGAAAGCTGCAGCATATGTGTCAAAAAAGTCTTTAGTGTCTTCTCCATGCAGCTAGCAAATAAAGAATACAGGTCATTCTTAGCACTCAACTAGAAGAGATCCTGATGCTAATTGATGCAATCAGATAAAAGAGCATGGCCCTGACTTTGACAGTGGACAGCATAAAAAGACATGCAACATAAACGCATGACAACTCATAACAACAAATTTCCTCAGAAAAGAATTGATAGAAATAAATAATTCTCTACAAAAAATTTCCTTATATTATAGAAGAAGATGAAATTACATAGAAAGCTAATAATTAGGAAGGAAAAAAAGTGCTTTGAATTTTTTCCTCTGGCTCTTAATTGATCAGGAGTGGATTACTACATGTCTAACAACAAGAGGACTAAAATGCACACGCAAAAAAAGAAAAAGAAAAAGTGTAAAATTATCCTGCCAAAAACTGCCAGGAAAATCATTTTTTCCCCAATTGATTTTCAAAAATTTACTCACCAAAACTTTCAACCTAAAGTTTAGCACAGCACCTCCCAAAACAGACACAATCTTTTAGCATCTCAAACCAATTGCTTACTATATTTTAAGGTCTTAGTCTGTAACTATCCACATAACAAATTCTCCAGGTACTAAAAACTACAAAATTATGAGAGAGCAATTTATTGTGTAAATTTGAATGAGATTTTCTTTGCTAGAGAACTAAAAATGAACAATTTAACCAGCAGAGAAAAATAAATTTTATACAAATAAAAATGGAGGACATTCGTAGGGAAATTTTAGTCAAGTTATAGTTCCAGTTTATGAACATAAATTAGCTTCTAAATACTTGAGAAATCGAAATACATTGCCAAGGTTGTTACAAAACTTGTACATATATTGTAATACAGACAAGGTTTATATAAGACAGCATGTCTGTATTAGAAAACATTATAAAAAGTCACTGAGGCAAAAAGAAAACTACAACAAACCAAAATCATTAGTTAATCCAAAATGGAGTAAAACACAGCAAACACCTAAAGGAACCTCAGTGAAAAAGAGTTAGGGAACAATTAAGGTAGAATGATAAAAATTATCAAGGAAACTGAAAACGAAATAGAGCAACCTAAAAAAAAAATTGCAACAACACAAGCAAAATTACATTAGAAAATTATCAAAAATAATGTAAACCTAGACAAAAAGCAAACATACGTGTCATAAATAAAAACTAAAATTAATGTACAAAATTACATCATTGGAATGAGCTCACAGTTCTCCTTTATCAGTTTTAACCATATGTCATAGCATGACAATTTAATCTATTTCTTAAAAAATTATTCTTGAGAACAAAAATTTCAAGTACTTTGAGCTTCAAATATAGCCCAGCAATACTTCACCTGGCACCAGTGAATACTGCTTATAATCCTAGCTATTCAGGAAGCTGAGATCTAGAGGATAGTGATTTGGAGATCACCTGGGGGAAAATAGTCTATGAGACTCCATCTCCAATTCAACAGAAAAAAAGCCAGACTGGAGGTATGGCTCAAATGGTTGAGCACTAACTATGAATAAGTAAGAAGAGCAAGCACCCTCAGTGCCCTGAGTTCAAATTCTGATTCGAATCTGAAGAGTAGATCAAATTTGATCAAATTTAAAGAGTAGAGTAGTTCAAAAATTTAACAAATGCTAACTTTTAATTCAGTTAATATACTCAATTACTCCCACAAAAAGAACTTTCTAACAGAACTATCAAAAGTATATGATCTCTTTAGAGTAGTCTGTGAACCCACACTCTTGCTATTTGCTTGAGGAGAATGATGTTATCAACAAATCATACTGAAACTAGATTCGGAATTAATTTTTTTAACAGAAAACGTTCTTGCCTTTGGAACTAAAAGAATTGAACACGTATTTCCATAAGCACAGTCCTAAAGCAATTTCTTACCGATACAATTGCAGTGATATTAGCTGGCTTTCCTACCCTTTCAATGACAAGACGAATGACTGTTGTGCTTGTTTCATTAACAACAAATTCTGTTTGTCCAGCAAACCGTATTTCTGTTTCTCCAAGTACAAAAGGGATGAGGAAAGCAGAAAGAAGATTTACTAATAAAGATGCAGAGGGCATGCCTAGAAGATAAAACAAAAATAAAAAAATCATAAAACTTTCCAATGCCTTTTTATTATATTTTTTCCTCTACACTGTGCACTTAAGAGTGGAGAGTTAAGACAGTGCACAACTAAGATATAAATTCATCAACCATAAAACCATCTGACTCCAATGTGTGATAACACAACATTCTCTGGTATCATAATCTCTTCTTCAGGTTCTTCTTTCTCTGTTTGTACTTAGGTTTTCATCTTCAGCTTCTATACGAAGATAGTAACTGTAAGGCAAATGTTATTAAAGTAATTGAAGATTTATTGACACATTTTAGTCTGAGAAAAACCCAATAAACAATAGAGGATGGAGAGTTTTTCATGGCAAGTTCAGCTTTTCATCAATAAAATTGAAATACTATATTCAACTAAAACAGTGAAAGCTAACTTTTCAGGAGTTGGTTGATTTTACAGCTAGTGCCTACATTTTTCTTAGATATGTCTTCAGATGTTTAATCTTTTCTTCAAAAAAGAGACAGCTTTCACGATGTCAGTTTCTTCCATTTTATTAGCTAGCATATTAATGCCATTTCTATAAATGTCCATGTTGCTTTGAAACAAGTAAATTCAGCCAACCATGTATTTTCTTCTTTTCCAAACTCCTACAGCTTTCTTCCTACTACAATATGTGTGTCTATGAGTCATCAATATTGTTCCTACGTTCAGTTCTGTGTGGTTCAAATGCTTTCAAAAGCACAACACTGCAGTGGCCTCTTGAAAGCACTGCTGTTTTGATATGTAGATGCACCTCCAAAAATGTGAACAATTTATCTCACGGATCATTAAGATTCCAATGGATCTATGTGATCGGTCACACGAACATAACAAGTCCATGCATTTTAAAGAGAGCATATTAAAGGGGAGTTGTATTACCTACTCTGGGCCAAAATATTTTATATTAATCTTTACTTTGGCTATAGAACTATCATGTATTTGGTATTTTCACAAGGCTACACAAGATTTGATTTAAAGAATCACCAAATATATGAACTCTTGATATATTTCAAGGTTTAAGTACATTTTTTTCAGCCTACTATATTCAGACAATGCATTTTGAAGGTCATTCAATGATGATTCACATGCCTCCAATTACAAAAGGCATAGAAACAGAAATACAATTCAAATTGAGTTCAGGAAGGGACACGGGTCAATAGGGACTCTGTTTCAGCAAACGAGGACATTTGTTGTCTCTTCTCTCTAAGCATGTCTGTGCCGAGGCTAAGAGGAATGGGAGAAGAAATAAAAACAGTTAGTCAGCAACTATAAACTCTTTCCCAATTCCTAATTCAGGAATTTCTTGCAAAGAAAGAAAATGAAATGTTGAGAGAAAGTGAAAGAAGAAAACGAACAATAGATTAGAAAGGCTTTATCATACTTTCCATGAGTATGATATTACAGTATGATGTTTCATGAGTATGAATTACAGCCAAGTGCAAAAGATCTTTTGGGGTACTGTAGAGCCAGAGAGATTTCACACCCCACTTATGACAAATTATGGAAAGGAAAGAATCTAGGAATGGTTGAAAAAACATGGAATGAAGGGGTATGCAGGTAACAACTTAGGCCTTGAACGCAAAAGAGGAAGATCAACTTTTATCTACTGTGATTGTGAAAAAAAAATCTCAAATCCTTGAATGGATGTTGAGTAGAGAAAATTCAAGTTAGAAAAAACTAAGTGAGATTACAGTATGAGAACAAGAGAGGGCAACCAAAGGAGATTTTCAAAATCATCCTGCCTAAGGATCAACATGGGCATTTGTTAAAATGTCAATACTCACTCGTAGAAATTCTTATTTCTGTTTATATTCTTTTTAAATTGTTCTTTATTTTATTGTAAAGATGCTATACAGAGGGGTTACAGTTACATAAGTAAGGTAATGAATACATTTAACATACAAAATTGTTAACACCTCCTTCATTTTTCTCCCATTATCCCCCCTACTCTATTCTACCTCCTGAAGTTGTAAAGTTCATTTTCAACATAGTGTCTCTGTTTATATTATTAAAGCTATACATAGAAGCAATAGAGGAGGCAGAAAGCTAAGATCTCCCAAGACAGAAGAGAGGGTTTTTGTTGTTTCTTTTAAATTCTGAACCAGTAGGTATAGGTTGTAGGTCAAGAATCTTCACTTAGGAAAGAACAGTGCTGGAGGAATATCAATACCAAATTTCTAACTCTACTGCAAAGTCATAGTAATCAAAACAGCTTGGTACTGGCACAAAAACAGACTTCAGGACCAATGGAACAGAACTGAAAACCCAGAAACGAACCTAAAGACCTATCTAATCTTCGATAAGGGAGCTAAAAAAACAGAATGGAAAAAGGACAGCCTCTTCAGTAAATGGTGCTGGCAAAATTGGTTAACTACTTGTAGAAAACTAAAGCTAGATCCTTATATATCACTCTGCACCAGAATCAACTCCAAAAGGATCAAAGACCTCTAAGTCAAAGCAGACACTCTGAAAACATTACAGGATAGAATAGGAGAAACCCTAAGTCTCCTTGGCACAGGCTGAAATTTTCTTAATAGAGATCCAGAAACACAACAAATCAAAGATATGTTGGACAGCTTCTGCATGGCAAGGGACATAACTAGCAAGATCAATAGAAAGTCCACGGATTGTGAGAGGATCTTCACTAGCCATACAACAGACAAGGGTCTCATATCTAAAATATACCTGGAACTCAAAAAATTAAATCCCCCAACAACAAATCCTCAAAGAAACAACTGCCCAATAAATAAGTGGGCTAAAAGCTTCTCTGTAACTCTTCAGAGAACTCTGAAGAGGAAAGAAGGATGGCCAATAGACACATGAAGAAATGCTCAACCTCCCTAGCCATAGAAGAAATGCAAATCAAAACAACATTGAGATACCACCTCACCCCAGTTAGAATGGCTATAATCAAGAACTCTAATAACAACAGATGCAGGAGGGGATGTGGCCAGAAGGGAACCCTACTGTGTTGTTGGTGGGAGTGTAAACTTGTTCAACCACTTTGGAAAGTAGTATGGAGGTTCCTCAAAAGACTCCACATAGAGAGAGAGCTCCCCTATGACCCAGCAATCCCACTTTTGGGCATTTACCCAAGTGATCACAAACAAGACCACACTAAAGCTACCAGCACGACTATGTTTATTGCAGCATTATTTACCATAGCTAAGTTATGAAACCAACCCAGATGCCCCTCAGTAGATGAATGAACCAAGAAAATGTGGTATATACACACAATGGAATTCTATGCCTCCATCAGAAAGAATGACATTGCCCCATTTGTTAGGAAATGGAAAGACTTGGAAAAATATATATTAAGTGAAGTAAGCCAGGCCCAAAGTAACATAGGTCCCATGGTTTCTTTTATTTGCAATAACTAGTATATGTCTGAGGCAAGCAGAAACGGTCAGATAAGTTGATGTTAGGCGAAAAGAACCCCAAGATAAGGACTCAAAGCGTTTTTCTTTCTTGCTATTGTTTCTAACATATTTATAAGGTATTTCTTTGTTGCTTTGTATGTCCCTCCCCCATGGTATAATTCACTGTATTTGATGTTGGTATAATTTGTGGAAGGGAAGGGAAAAAACAAATTTTCTAAATAGGGATACAGGTGGCCCAATGAGACGTTATGTCGAAAAACGAACTGTCCAACTTTGGCGTGGCACGCAGGGCGATGGGAGGAGGCCCAGGGCGGGAGGAGGGCAGATGGAAGCTATGGGAAGGGGAAACAAAGGAGGAGGCTACAATGCTTGATAAGAAATGCACTCATTATCTTGCCCATGTAATTGTAACCCTTCTGTACGGTATTTTCACAATAAACAACAAAAAAAGAATCTTCACTTGTTAAGTATCCTTGTTTATTCTGATGGAACTGATCCTTTCAGTATACTTCAAAAACCAGTCCTAAAGGAAGAAGAGTAGTGTGAGGAATGTGTCTCATGGTAATCACATGAAAGATGCAAACATGTACTTAACTATTGAATTGTTCAGTGCTACAGACATGAACTTTCTCCACACTTCCTCTTATGCTTTTCTCATTTTCCTGATATGGTATTTGAAGATTCTATGCATTCTAAACAAAAGTACTGACTTATTGAGAGCAATTATAATAGCAAACGCTGATATACTGTTGTACTTTATACACACTAAATATTCAGTCCCTAAGCCCTCTGTGATACCTCTGGGTATCACAAACATAGCTGTGGAAACTAAAGCACAGACAAAGTAGTTGCTCTCACTCAGTTAACTAAGTGGCTAAGTAGGATTTGAATCCCAGAGTCCGCCACCAGACTCTCTGCCCAGAAATCCCACTATACTGTTCTGATACTCACTCTTACAAATACACCACCCTTTATATTGACAAATGTGGTAGACTGCTTATGCTACATGTTTTCAAACATCCAAATACTCTAAACATGCAAAATAACCAAAAATTACCATAAAATTCCTAACTATGCATCTCCTAGAAGTATGCACCTTATTATTCTGACAAATATTCCATGTTTGTACTGTTCACTACTTTCAATATTTAACAGCATCTTTTAATGTCAGGACCAATGTGCTCAAATGCTGCATTCTTACGATTTCCCAGGCAATTAGATCCCCAAAATCTTGTGGTGAAGTCAGTAAATTCATTTTAAATTGGACCACATCAATGAGTTTCAAGATTATGCAAAATGAACAAAACAAACATGATTGGAAATGTTTCAAGTTGTGTGACATCATTGATAATTGCATCTCCTTTGCTTTCATCTTCTCACACTGTAAGAAAGGTTGTTGTGGTGATATTGGCATTGAATAGAAATTAAAAGATGAAACAAAAGCTTTGAAAATAATACTTCCATTAGAAGAAGACAGGCATAATTACAGAATAGCTGCATACTTCTGTTTTCAGAGTAACTAAGAATACTCTGCTCTATTATTCTAAAAATCTTGTGCATGAAATTCCTTTATTTTTGTTTTATTCAACTCAGA